TTGTCTTGGATCAGTGATCTTGTTTCCAGCTCCATCCACATCAGTCACAGGAGTCTGTCCAGGCTTGTGGGACCAAAATCCTGTGTTATCCAAGCGATACCAGTGGTAATCTACATCTGAGGATACGGAGACAGAAAAAAGATATAAGAAAAATATGTCATTCTGAAAACACTCCGAATCAATGTTTTCCTTTTTAAAATTCCTATCTTAACGCCTTATTACAAAATCGGAATGACGATAATAGACCAGAAGCCATTCTGTGAAACTTAACATCCTAGCCTGTGATCAAATTCACAGTGATTTGATTTTTCTACCATACGGTTTCGGCCAAGATTGAAGATGTTTTTTAAGCTTTTTGATACTTTTTAACTGAAAAGAACACCTGAGTTTTCCCTACTTTTTACGTTTCTCACTCTAGTTTAAAGGATAATTAAAGGAAGCTGTTGAACCCTTGCTTAAGATCAAGCTATATTAATAGCTGAGTTGTTCTGGATATTTTTGTTAGAAGGAGCTTAAGTAGTTATATGTTCATTACCTGGGGCAACCACTAATGCCACCAGACAGTTGGGCTGTTCTGGTGCTTCTGGTACAGGAGCAGTTGGAGGCACATCCATTTTTACTAAACCATCACTTTCAGCACTTGCCAAGGTGTTTTCTGGAGTTAAAGCGCCCGGCGGGATAGGATGGCCGCTGGCTCTACCAGGCTGAGCAAAAGTGTTGGTGATTTTTTGATTTGCGTAGTTGTAGCAGTTGTTATGCCGGCGGATTATGTCGTACTCATTCCACCTGTCAGGATGGTATTCAGGTGCATAATGCTGTATTGCACCTTCCCCGACGGTTGGGGCCGGGCGGGCACGGATGGCAGAGACGGCTCCAGAATCGATGGCCTTCGATAGGGTCTGGTGCAAATTACGATGAATCGCCTCTCTTGGCATGGTGCCAAACAGCAGCTTTTGAAGAGAAGTCGTCTCCCTGCCCAGAATCAATTCCGCACGCTCAGAATCTGGGTGGTGTAGTAGGAAACCTTTATATCCGAGAATGGCAGGAATATGCTCGTGACGGTGGGTGTTGCCTGTTGCTCTGGCGTCGAAATGAAGCTTTTTCAGTTCCTTGAACTTCCCATGATCAGGTTTAACCCACCAAACAGGATTAGGAAGACCACTGTGTATCAGTAAGGTTACCTTGTATTCTTCTGTATTTTGAGAAAAGAATAAAATAAAAACTACAACAGTCGCCTCGGTGTTAGAATAGCTAAACAGCTACGAGATGTTACATCTGAATGATCGTTCAATTTAGACGGGAATGGACCATAAAATGAAATTTGTTGCGAATTCTGAGTGAAATGCTTGAAACTGGTCCTGGTGTTACTGTTGTATAGTCTAACATTATTTTCATCCGTTATTGCCTACAAGTTAGAGCACAGAAAATCAAGAGTTCACGAGATTCAGGAGGAAAGTGTCATGAAATTTAAATGAGCAATGCACATATCACGTATCCCCATTTTTCAGAGCAAATCACAGAACTGAAACACAATCTTATCGTAAATGGTATATTAACGAGGCTTACTGTCCATAGTTGCTGCTGTATATTGCTCACAAGCAGAGTTGAAGATAAAGCTGTGCTGATTTGGGTATCAGTTCCTCGACTGCTGTCAGTAGCTCCTCGCTAAGTCGTCTGATGAACTGATGAAGTGCCTTTATATACCTACCTACATGCTCAAGTGATTGTTTACTTTGGTTTGAGGCAAGAAACTTGTGGGTGGCGTGATTTTCCTAAAAAAGACAAAGGCTGCTTCAAAGCTCTTTGTTGGGCTGGAAATCTGACTACGTCATTCAACGCTTGACGTGCTCCTCCTTATTGACCAGCCCGGGGAACGCTCAACAGACTCTCAAATGTAGCAATCCTGCCCCTTTTCCTAATCGTCAATCAATGCAAAAGCACAAACCATTTCGTTTTAACTCCATTCCTGTGTTGAGAAACTCTTGTGGTTGATCGATTGTATTGACTTCTATAAGGGGCTTTGTTAAGTTGTGCATGAGCTTGCGCGATGATTTCCTCTTGTTTGTCGCTAAGTGCCTACATGTACTTGCCATCGTTTCCGGCTGACCTTGGCAAGAAGCAAAACACGTGGGCGTAAAGGTGACAGTCATAAGTTGTTTTGATCACGCACTGTTGTGCATGATGCGAAGAAATTGCAATGTGTTATGCAGGCCTTCTTCTGCTGGTCCTCTCCTGTGAGTCTAAATTAAGTTATCGGTTTTTCTCACTCGAAGAAAACACAGTTTAATAAAAATTAATAGTCTACATTTCCGGGGAAATAAACTTAAAGTGGCGTAATGGAGGAGTGATAATTAGAATGGAACCATATTCATATAATAATGCGAACTAATTGTTTCCGGAACATTTCAAAGGATTAGCTAGACTTCCATCAAAAGGGACTGTTGCACTCTGTGGTTGATCGATCGCGTGTTTTGTTTTGTTTTGTTTTTTTCCCTTCTGTGAAGTGATTTTATTAACATTGCACAATCACATCACTTACTTTCATTAGCGATAATTGTTGTTGGGATTTGTAACCGAACAGAAGCAAAGTTATATATGGTAAAATCGAAAATAAGTTGATGGGGGCGTTATCTATGCGTCTGTCCGACAAATGATCATGTATTAATTAAGAACCAATCAAATGCGTGCATCATTCAGTTTATTATATGATTAATGATACAAGCGGAGCATGATAAACGGGAAGTTGAAGGGCAGTGGGGCTCTACTTCATAGAAAATGAACATGGGCGGATTTGTAATACCCAAGTGGAAGCTCATCATCATATTTCCGTGATGTTACCTTACGCAACATTATTCATAAAGATCTAAGCTTTTGTCTTCTTTTTTGCTTTCTTTGTGCCGAAACAACAAAGACGATTAAATCATGTACAGGGTAATTGGTCTTTTACAAGGTTGATTCAGTCTTCAATTATCAAAACAAAGAGGCGCGCCTATCTTTAAGGTCGTTGGTTGAAATAAACTTCTGACTAAAAGAGTTGCCTATATTTCTAAATGGGAGTTGCCAAAATATAGTACCAGTCTCTGAATCGTTTTGGAGTAATTTAAAGTTTTTAAGAATGATAGATGTAACCAAGTGGTTGTGAGGGTGAAATGTTAGAGTGAACTAAATGCGGTCAGTGTTTTCCTTCGCAGCCGTTTGTAGTGCTGATTGTCGATCAATTTGTAAACCGTTGCCTTCAATTGAAATTTTGATGTCTAGAAAAGCCAAAGAAGTGTCGGAAATTGCCCAGGTATATTTAAGAGCCGGGTCAAAGGAATTGGCGTCGGTTATAAATTGAGTGAGCCCCTCTCCGGTAGAGGAGGTAGCGCCGATGTATTCGTCAATGTAACGGCCGTAAAGTTCAGGTTTGGGGCCGTGGTATCGACTGAAATAAATTGATGTTCGATGAAACCTACGAAAAGATTGGCGTAGCCGGGTCCCATTTTAGTACCCATGGCCACGCTATTAATTTGTTTGTAGCAGACATAGTTTGATGCTACTCTGGTTTACAGATTTAATGAATGTAACCGAAGAAGTTACAATTCATAGACCCAACGTTTCGACACTCCTGTCTAGTGCCTTCATCAGGGGTGATCTAAACGCTGCAACTAGAGGTCCTTTTATATGATCACTGAACTTTAATATATTTTATTTGCACATTTGTACAGGTACATTTGTAGTAAGAGGAAAGAACAAGCCTTTGATCGTAGCCGGAGGTGGAGGAGGAGTTGCAAATATGACAGAACAATATTAAGGATGTGATGCGTCCATAAACACAACAGGGAATGCAGGGTATAACTCGCCAT